TTTTTTAGCAGGATCTCATTTTCTTGCCCAGGCTGGGGTGGCAGTGGTACAGTCTCGGCTCACTGCAATCTTGCCTCCTGGGCTCCAGCGATCCTCCTGCCTCAACCTCCTGAGTAGCCAGGACTACAGGTGGATGCCACCACGCCTGGGTAATTTTTACATTTTTTGTACAGATGTGGTTTCACCATGTTGCGCAGGCTAGTCTCAAACTTCTGGACTCAAGTGATCCACCCGCCTTGGCCTCCCAAAGTGCTGGGATTACAGGCACAATCACTGCACCGGCCTATTTTCTATTCTTAAAACAGACATCAAGTCCTTAAAACCAAAAACTGGGGGTGACTGTGGAAAGTTGATGTCTGCTCAGAGCAGTTTTTGTAATAGTATTTAACGAAAACAGGCAGTTCTAGTTTACACTGCTGCCCTAAGTCTGTCAGCCTGCTTTGGGGAAGGCTGAGCTGATGAGGATCCTGATAAGGATCACTAACATCACCAGCCACACTGACTACAAGTTAAACCTGACTTCACTCAGTCACCTTCCAGTTGTCTCCTCCGGCCTTATCTCACATCAAACTCCCTCACCAACCCCAATCACAGGGCCTGGACAGGATCCATTGCAAAGCTCAAAAAGTTCCCTTTGCCAGCAGTACACTCTTCTTTCCCACTCTCAACCCTACCATTTAATATCATACAGATCTCTCTGAGTCCAAAGCATATGCCTCGTCCTCTATGAGGTCCTTCCGAATCAGATGTCTCCACTCCCTGGCCACCATTATTATTCATCTTACAACACTGCCACATTCTGCCACGAAATTATTTTGTTCTACCACACTGATAAGTTCTTTAAGGAACTATAAAGAACACCATATTTTACTCTTACTCTCTGGCACAGAACTCAGAACTTGGTACATATTATAGATTCACTCATATTCAGAGCTTGCTAGTCGGGAGACAGGTAATCTAGTAAGCAAGTTGCAGAGTCCAGGGTGACCTGGGATCCTCTGGTTCCCAGAATGGCACAATCTCTCCTCACTGTGACCTCCATCTCCTGGGTTCAAGCGATTCTCCTGCCTCAGCCTCCCGAGTAGCTGGGATTACAGGCATGTGCCACCATGCCAGGCTAATTTTTTATTTCTAGTAGAGATAGGGTTTCTCCATGTTGGTCAGCCTGGTCTTGAACTCCAGGCATCAGGTGATCTGCTTGCCTCGGTCTCCCAAAGTGCTGGGATTACAAGCGTGAGCCACCACGCCTGGCTGAACCAGTTGATTCTTAACATGATTAGAATGGACATATT